TTGGTGACAACTGAGCAGCACTATTTCATAACAGTGCATCCAACCTGCAAATTCAGACTCTTTCCTTCTCTGATGCCTGCCCAGATAATAGCTTACAGGTTATGGTGCCTCCTAAACTGCACTCGGGGACAGAAATCTAACAAAAATTCGAAGTGACATCAACCTATAAGTCCAGAAAAGTTAGTACTCAACTCAAGCTGTATTTTCCAGTAGCAACATCTCTCTTTCATCCTAGTGACAGTGATTTCCCACACCTTAAAAAAAGCAACTAAACCAAAAAGTCCAATAGCTGTCCCAAAAAGCGATTGCTTAAAACATTTCAAAATGTCCGAGACACATTCCTACTTTTTTTGTGTTCTTGGATCCACAAAGCCAATTTTCCCTGCACAATATCAAACCGCGCTTTCCATATCTAACACTCTGCACCTCTTCTTCCAGCTTCACACAGATCTTAACACACCTAGAACAAAGAGGCTCCCATGTAAGCTATTCCAAAGCCATTTGCTAGAAAACCATGAAGTCCCTGCAGAAGCATTTCACCTTGTGTTACCTCATGTTGATTCTGCTCTTGCTGATGTGCTGTTTATATAGCTCCTGATGTCACTGTAGTCACAGATCCTCATAAATCCTTTTAATTCTGGCAGATCCTTTTAAATGTTTCTACGTAGGCAGAGCAAACAATATCGTCCTCATCTCCAGGTGACATACCAAGTCATCTCTTTTCCTGAGACTCCAAATCAACTTGGACTTTCATCCAACAAAGCTTTTCTAGTCCAGCACTCAAGGTGCCGTCCCGATGACACTACAGCAGTCTGCTCCGTCACAACGACATCCTCAGTACTACGTTTGGTGGCTTTACTATAGTAACACCCCGTCCTGCCTTGCTGAGCAGGCTGAGGGTGAACGGGGACAGGGACTGTACAGCTTTCTTCAGCAAGAAAGGCACACAAGAGCTCGGAGAACAAAAAGGAACAGGGCAATACAAGTATCCACACAACCAGCTTTTTGTTTTGATTTTTTTTTGTTTGTTTTTGATATTGTTTTGATGCAGATACTCCTGCTACGTGCTTTTTCTTGAATCTTAACCCACTGACTTCATAAGAGCAATTTATTGAGATAATGAAAAGAAATTCAACATTCAAGTACAAGCTGAAGATACACAAAAAAAATACCTTCGCACGTCAGGTCCTTGTAAGACTAAGTATGTCATTGCCCTCCAGTACAGAGAGGGAAAAAAAGTTCTCTGGAGCAGCATCAGCACTACCTTTTTCACCTTTCCTTATATCGGAAAGAAATGCAAAGTTACTGACAGTGCTATTTGTTTTCCTCCTCCAGCCAGGTAAGTCATTCTCTTAACCACGTATCAAGAGCAAGGGCCTGTCCAAAAGCTGCAATATTGGTCAACAGTGTTGGGAGTAGCCTTGCACTTGGGAAAAGCCTGGGCAGCTGTTCAGAGCACCCCTTAGCCCTCAGGTCCAGCACAATACCTTGACGGCTGTTTGATCGACAGCCCTTCAGTACGTTCTTCTATACAGAAACTTGTACGTGGAGACCGATTGTCTAACCCAAACAACAGATGCAGCTATCCAGCCTGGTTTGCACAGCAGAGTATCAAAGTATTAAAATTCGCTCACAGTCTGACAATCAAAAAAGTAGAACTGCAAAAAACATACTGCAAAGCAAGCCCACCAATTTGAGCCGACACCCAACGAGGAGCCATGTGTGAACCATATTGCATGTGCACACAAACTGTATGGGAAATCATCCCTTTCCAACCGTGCTGCATTTTGGCAAAAGCCAGTAGGGTAGAAGGGAATCAATCTGCACTAGAAATGTAAGGAAAGTCAGCATTAAATAATCTAACTCAGAGGAGAAAAAAAATAAATCTCAGTTTTGATGCAACTATCTTATACTTTCGTCACCTTACGCTACGGGAGCCTATAAGCAAATCTGAATATTCATTGTACCACAAAAATTCATTTGTTACCATACAGTCATTTTGAAAAAAAGCAAGGTAAGACCTGCTAGAAAAAAAGAAGAAAAAACCCATATATTAGATTTGGAAGGAAACAGAAGAGAGGCTGTGGAAACCGAGAGGACAGATGGGGAAATGGGCCAACAAGCTTTCACGATAGGCCTGTGTCATTTCCAAAGTAGAAAAGATTAATTGCATGATGTTGCCTAAGCTCTACTCAATAAATTTTATCACATGGTTTAAAGCTGTGCATACATTCATTGTATCTAATGCAAATTAATAAGAACAGTATTTATACAGTAACAATAGTGTAACCTTTCACTTGGAAAAATTCCAATGATCTCGATTATTTATTTACAGCTTATTTGCTATTACTCAAATATAGCCGCTGAGCTCAGCACAGAAAGAAGTAATATTAAGGGTTGGATTAAGTACTATATAGCAATGGGGTAAACATGGAATGAGGTTTTAACCAAGGACTTAATAGTAAGAAAACACTGACCTTTAACATTCATCCATACCAGAGTATTTAAAACAAATGGAAAGGATTTCTTTTCCTTAAAGCCTAAAAGATGTAAGCTGAAGGCATCTATCCATTCTGCACACACCTTTAATTTTCATCTTTCTAATCCTTGCTGTGCAAAGTCTCATTTATTTAAACTCTTGATCCTTCTTAAATTTTATGTAACTCGTACCCTTAGCTACAAATACATCTCCCTATATGTACTAGCCATAAGACAGAAGCTGAGATTTTCTTCTGCAATAGACGCTAAAATTGCTTTAGAATACACTACACACTGGAATGTGTAGTCAAGATCTCACTTCTGTTGAGAAATTACGTTTTAAATCAAATTTTTAAATTTTTATCAAGAGATTGAGTCAATGAAGGTTTCAGCTGGGCTCATGTCCCTCCAACACGGAGCTAACCAGTACTGGGCGTTCTTACTGCTCTCTGCAGTTTAAGACATGAGTCAGATGCAAGTTCAAAAAAAAAGCACAAAGAGCAAACTGAACAGAGAAGTTTTAATGCTAGGGGACATCTCTTATGCTAATTACTGCTAATAAAATGTAAAATTTAACAAGCAGATTTTTACATTACAAGACAGGTGTAAAATATCTCAATTATCACAACTTCTATGGCTTTCCTCGTTCTTTCATTAAATACCCTCCTCCAGATCAGACACAACCACTCCCTCCCCACCCCCTTTTCTAGACAGTGCAGAAAGATGGGCAAAGAGAAAATGCAGCAAGCCGCCTGTGGCCAGCACTAGTCTCAGCTGAGACTGGCCAGACCAGCTTGCAAATCCTTTACCAGAGCATGCAACCTCTTCCAAACCCTGCTCAGCACCACCCGCGTAAGGAAGAGCG